AGAGAGAGAGAATGAATGAATGAATGTGAAGTTTTATATATTTTATATTTATAGCATTGTTATATATATTTTATAGATTTATATATACTGTACATAGTAAAAAAACCTGATCACAGATTTACTGTATGCATACACTCAAACACATGGCACTGGATCATAAATTACATCATAATCAAAACCACATGCACACAATCAAGACTGAAATTTAGCAGCGCTCACAGCATGTGCATGCATAAAAAACATACACAGTCCAATTTACATGCATAGCCTACACATGACGCTTTTGTATACTTCTCAGGGGTCGGGGACAATGATAAATACATGGAAGGCTGATTGGAGTGTAGTTTTACAGATGTGGGATCCGATAGATATTGACAGGCTGCAGGCTGTTCTGCTGACGCACTCATTTTCCTCTCTTCCCTCTGGCACGCTCTACCTACGCCAGACTCTTTTATATGCTCTGACATATTTCATTATTAGGATGGTCTTGAAGACGTGGCCGCTCTGAGTTTAATCTGACTAAAAACCCTCAGCTAGGGCCAGCCAAGCCAACCACTGCGGCACTCCAAGACCTCTCTCTCTTTTCTTGCATCTGCTTTGCAGTAAATGTTGTATTTTTATTTTTTTTCCCTGTAAATTCACAATCTAGTCCAGCATTATGCAGGTCCTATTATTATTATTAGGTTTTTGTGGTGTCTACTAAATGTTTTAGTAAAAATTAATTGCTTAAGGTCATTTTCTAGTTATTTTTTCCTAATAAAAAAATTATAGTGGGTTATGACTTATTATGCAGTTTATCCATCAGCCTAACCTTAAGCAATCTCAAAAAACATTGCACTCATGTGATGTTCCCTTTATGCTAAGTCACAAATCATATGACTGCCTGTGAAAATTGTATCCTGGAAGCCATAATCCGTTATTTCTATAGAGAGTTCATGAGAAAGAGGTTGTCGTATGTTGCACGCTAGTCTAAATGACACCATAATGGGAGTTTTAGGTGTTCTGAGAAAAAAAAACACTTTGCTGTTAACGGTCATATTAAGCTTTAGATAGATTTTATTGTGTAAGCCGATAGTGAAGCATATAGCTGATAGCATGAAATAGTGTGGTTTGGGTTTGTGTGTGTTTAAATGTACGCAAACACTTACATAAGGTCTAAAATGTTTTGCTTTCTTTGCAGGTAAACTAGAAAATATATTAGAAAATATGTAATATTTTTTAATGGTGAATTACCATGAAACTGTATACTGCATTGTTTCATTAAATTTGCTTTTTCTATTTTATTTTATTTTATTTTTTTCTAATTTTATTTTATTTTTTCTATTTTATTTAATTTTTTCTAATTTATTTTATTTTATTTTATTTTATTTTTTTATTTTTTTTATTTTTTATTTTATCATTCCTTGCTTCCTTTCAAAATGTGAACTCAACCAGTCACACAAATGTACATACCCATAAAATGTGTCATATTTTCATTAACTTGCTAAGCTTGCATTATTTCATTAAAAACAAGCAATTTTCTCTTTTTAGCATGTAAATTCAGCTTTTTAAAATTTAATTTAATTTTATATTTTATTGCAGATAGGATATATATATAAATAATATCCATTCGTTGCACTGTTTATAACCAAATATGAACTCCACCAGTCACAAGAACGCACATACCCATAACAATGTGCTTGTCCTATTTTCGTATTCTCTATCTCTGCTACGTTCCAAGCTAAATATTTTCCAAGTTGAATATTATAGGTAAAAGCTGTCAGAAGCAGCTCAACAGTCACTGACCTCTGAATTGATTTTTGCATAAAGGTCAAATAGTTGTTCTTAAACTGCGATTTTAACCACGCTTCGTTGCAATTCCTGAAGTGCACAGTTGAAACAGGCATGAAAAGAATTAAGAAAGTAAACCAGGTCAATTTTGATTTCATTTCGACTACTTCCATTGTTTTTGTGCACACATTAGTGAAGTGTAACTCTCCTTCTTGCATACAAAGCGAGGCGTGTATGTTTGTAAGTGTGTGTGTGTAGCTGGTACAATGAAGAGCTGAGTCTCGGTCCACAGGAGAGGAGAACATGTCCATTAAGAGGATAGATGAAAGATGCTGGAGGCAGCGCACTCTCTCTCTCTCTCGCTGGCTTCCCTCCAATACACCTACATTTTCCTGCAGCCCCTCTCGTCCAAATGAAGACCACTCATAGAGGCTGCGTTGCTCACGGGCTCTGCGGCGCTTTAGTTCACAGTTCAACATCCTCCAATTCATCTCTCTTCCTCTTCTTCCAGGAGCTGTATGGCAGTCGCCCAGTTACCGTTCGGCCCTGCAGCGCTGCTTCTGCTGATTTGTTTGTTTTGCCCTTCGTCTCATTATTTTCCCTTTTCGTGATAATGGCAGCATACAGGTATCTGTCTGCCGGAGAGACTTCGCCAATTACCATTTTTATTTCCTAAGAAGCCGTTCAGATGACTTTCCCGTCTCGCTGTCGTTTCTCTCGGTCTGTTTCTGTTCTCGCTCGTCTAGTTTGCTGTTGATTCAGGTTGAGAGCAGCCATGTTGTGCTGGTTTAGATTGATTTATGCAAGCGTCCCAGAGAGGGCCATCTGTGTCGTGTGTTTATGCATGTCGGCATGCATGTGGAAATGAAAACTACATTTTAAACATTTCACTGCTTAGATCCTACCGATTACAGCTGCATTTCATGGAAGTGAAATAGATATATCCAGTGCTTAATTTATGCATTATGAAATCCCAGAACAAGGACCGGTCATGGATCCCAGAGTTTGTTTATTTCGACATATTTAGTCGTTAATTAAATTTATGAGACTGAAGGCAGGTGGAATTTGCTGCAAACAGTTTTGAGTTTAAATTGTATATGCACTATGGTTCAAAAGTTTGGGGTCAGCACGATTTAAAAAATGAATAAATAATTATAATTTTCAGAAACGATGCAATAAACATTAAAAAATGCATTAAAAATAAAAACATTTATAATATTGCAAAATATTTCTATTTCAAATAATGTTCTTTTGATTCAAAGAATCCTGAAAAAGCAGCACAACTGTTTTCAACATTGATAATAATCAGAAATGTTTCTTGAGCAGAAAATCAGCATATCAGAATGATTTCTGAAGGATCATGTGGCACTGAAGACTGGAGTAATAATGCTGAAAATTCAGCTTTGATCAAAGGAATACATTACATTTAAAATATATTCATACAGTTATTTTAATGTGTTTTAATATTTCACAATATTGCTATTTTTACTTTATTTTTTATTAAATAAATGCATCCTTAGTGAACAGAAGAGACTTTTTTTTTTCTCCAAAAACATAAAAAAAATCTTGCAGACCCCAGAATTTTAAAATGTGGTATATAAGCATTTAATTCAACTGGATTTTGTTTTGTTTTGTTTTTTGTTTTGATTTGTTTTGTTTTGTGCCAGGGATTGGTTTTTATGAAAAATACCAGGTTTGAGCTTTCATTTTGTAATTTTAAAGCCACATTAATACTGACTCAAACATTATGGCATCATCATCCTTAATTTTTGCTACGTTACAGATTTTTATATATATATATA